TTTTGGAAAATGGCTGTTTCGAAGGTTGAAAAAAACATCAAAGAATGTTTACAACATAATTCATTTGAAACCAAGAATTGGACAAAATATTATTCCCACAAGAAAATAGCATAAAATTCGCATATCTTCAGCTGTTTTTACTAGTTATTTAGAAAACAAAGTTGGAATTAAAAACAAGGACAAACTGATTACTCCGACAATTTGATTAATTGCAATTATTATCATAAATGGTTGAAAAATATGCTGTCAGTTATGGTTAGTCTTGGCTATTAAAATCAGTTTACCTTTAATAAACTGATGATTCGTGCCTAAGTTGCGGTTGACAGGTAACTATTAACATAAATAGTCAAACATTTGTCAAAACAAAAGAGAAGAGAAAAAAGTTAAATGTTAATAAACGTGAATAGAGAAGCATTTAGAGGCACTTTTCATGTACTAATAGGGTAATCAGGAATGGTCAGATGCCATTGATGGTCAATAGTTAACAAAAAAAGGGAAAAAGAAAGAAGCTAAACTGTTATTAACTGGAGCAATCAATTTTTCAGAATAATGTTAATGATAACAAATGGCGAGCATCAAAAACAGCAACAAATAGCAATGAAGGCGATTCATTTGGTGTCATCTGTTGATGTTTTTCAATTTATTAATCAAATCAAATTAATTGTCATCATGAACCAATTTAGAGAAACAAACAAATGATTCCTTTTACTGTACCTTAATGAATTACAAGTTATGACACGAAACCATTGAGACGGTGACAATTAGAATGAATTTTCCTGTAAATCGGAAAAGTTTCAACAAATGATAAACTCATGATTAGCCTCTTGGGGTGACTTATCCTGTCGACCCATCTTCATCATCCTCTTGCGGGTGACAAAAGACACTGAATTTTTCAGATGCTTATCAGAAGATAATCATTATTCATTTTTTGTTCAACAAAAGCTTGTTCTTTCCTGATTATCTGTTGCCAAATGGTCAACAAGGATAATGATGAGCAACAATTTATGCAAATGAAGGTGCAATGTCAACCATCAGAAGATAAAGACAAAACAAAATAGGAAAATGGTAAAAGGTTGAATCAGCTTAAAAAAGGTAAGTCTTTATATCCAATAAAAGATGTAAGATGACACTGAACACGATACATAAGCTAAGCTTCTTTGTAATATCATGATAAATGTACCTTCTTACCTGACTATTAATTGATTCCTGCCGATGTTTTCCATTGATAAGTTTCTCTTTCACTTTTCTTCTCCTCATCTTCTTACCTTCCCATCTTTTGGTTTGTTTTTTGTGTCTCATAATCATCCTCATCTTCTTCCTCTTCGTCTATTAATTAGATCGTAATAAGATTTTCTAACCTTTAGCAAGAAAAAAATCTTTTCTCTCTTTTCCTTCTCTTTTTCATGATGATAATGAATGATATTCATCATCATTTACGTTCATTCAATAAACAAGGCGTGGAGATGAAAAATGTTTCAAGAAGAAGAAGAAGAAGAAAAATTAATTTAAATCTTAAATAGCATCTCAAGGTGTGGTAACCACAAAATTGTGGTTAATTTTTGGCTTCTTTCATCTTCTCTCTCAATTTAGCCTTTTCAAGTGTAAAAAGTTAATCTTTTGTTATTTATTTTATTGTAATTAAACTAATTGTTATTTTGATGAGGATACAAAAATTAAGGACAGGCTTTACTTTTAAGTGGTCACATCAGTTTTGGGTTTCATCTTATTGATTGTTTTACCTTGAAAATTAAAGATGAAAATTAAATTGTAAATAAAAAGGCATCATCTGAAGGCGTTTTTTGATACAAAATTTTCATCTTTTTATTTTCAATTAAAAACATGAAATTAAAATTTAACAGGTTATTAGCCTTAAGAAGGTAAAGCGATATTATGTGATATTTAACCATTGATATGATGAAATTGAACCGCTCCTAGTAGACAGCAGCAGATGGTCATTCACACGATTTGACCATTGGCCAAGAAGTGTGCCAATGAAACAAAAGGCTAATTGTTTGATTAACTTTAATCACGAAACAAGTTTACTCTTGACTTTTTATTTGCAATTTCATGTCATTTGATAAATTAATTAACATCATTAACTTTGCTTTTTTGTCCTTTTTCCCTTCTAATTTATTCATAAACAAGCCAGTTTCTTAATTAATCAATCTCATAATTAAATCAACTTTAAGTTCGAAGGTTCAGTTTTTGTTCGCAAAATAAGTCGAAAAAATCATTTTTCTATTGTTCATTAATTTCTAGATTCCATTGAAAATGCAAATTCGAGTTTTGTCTTTCTGTCTGATCTCATTTCGATTTGCTTTCTTTGATTTCAAGAAACAAAATCTTTGAAGTTTTCGACTTTTAAAAATGAACTTTAAGGTCAAGCTCGAAAAAAGGTTCAGTTTTTGTTCGGAAAAAAGTCGAAATGAAATTTTTAATTATTTCTCTTCATTCAATTCTTCATTGATTTTTGAGTTTACCTTTAAAGTTTGTTTCAATTTCTTGTCTTTTGGTTTCCAGAGCAAAAGCGATGAAGTATTTGAATGTTATTATAAAAATAAACTTAAAGTTCGAAGTTGAAGAGAAGTTCAATTGAGAGAAAATTTTGCGTTATTTTTTACGTTCGATTGTTGATCTAGTTTTTAGTTTTTATTGGGAAGTTCAAGTTCGATTTGTGTATTTCTGAGTTCATTTCATTTCGATTTTTGTGTCTTTTTTCGTTTCGTTTGCCGTTAAGCTGGAAGAGCCAAACGGTGAAGTGTTAAAAGTAAAGTTTGAAAAGCTTTTTGTGATTGATCCAAAATTTCATTAGAAGTGATGATGAAAAGACTTAGTTTTTGATGTAAACCAAATTACTTTGGGATGATGATGATGATGTTTGATAGATGAGTCGATTTTGAATGATAACATGAGTTAACTAAGCTTATGGTTAATCTGTTTGAAGCTAAGTCAAAATGAAATATTCATTGTTAGTTGTCATCGGAATTTGCGAGGTAAAAACAAAAAGCTTCTCGATAATCATCCTTGTTCATCATCATCTTTCTCCTGATTCCTTGCGTTTCCTTCATTGCCTTTGGTATGCAAAAAGCTTGAGCAATAACAAGTTTCGATTCATAAATTATTATAACAAGAAACAAAACTGATCACAACTGAATCTAATATTTATATATATAAATACATATTTACATGTAATCTGAAGGGAAACACTTCAATTTAAGATTCCAGAAGCGAAAGGAGAGAGAGAAGAAGAAGCAAGCAAAAAAGTCGAACATGATGATGATTCCAGGGAAAAATGTATTGGAATGATGAGCAAAAGAGAGAAAAAAGAAAAAAGAAAAAACTCTTTTTTTCTCTTTGATTGTGATAAAAAAAATATGAAGACGTGAGTAAAGAAGAGAAGAAAAAAGTGGAAAGAAAGGAAAGAATAGCGAAGATAAAAAAAGATGAGAATTTTCATCATTCCTTTGGTCATCCTCAGTGTTTGAGTTTCAGCAAAAAAGCACTTTCTATCAAGGGAATCTGAACTTCGAGGATCCATTTACAAGTTTCCAATATTGATATTGAAGTATTATAAACAACTCATCTTCATTTTTTTCATTCTCCATCTTCACCTCATCCTCCATCAGCTCAACTTTTTTCATCATCTTGATATAATTCACAATCTCCTATAATGTAATCCATTCCTCATTCCTCCATATTTTTGCTCTTCCTTTCTTCTCTTTCTTTAATCTCTTAGTTTTTTGTGTTTCTTTACATTTCTATATAATATGAACCTTTAACTTGCTTCATTTCATTTCCATCATCATCTTCATCTTCATCATCTTATCCAATGCACATTCTCTCTCCAAGTAAACCCTGCCTTTTACCATTTTGTTATTTCTTCTTCTTCTTCTTCTCTCGCCATCATCATATTCTGTCTTCTATTCCCTTATTCATAATTGAAGTGAATGCTTTTTTTGTCTTTTCCTTCATCATCTTTTTGATCTTTCACATCATCTCTTTATCCATCTTTTTGTTTCTTCAGCACAAGTTGTTTGCATTTGTTTTATTTTTTGCGTTTTTTCTCTCTCTCTTTCTTTCTCTACTTCGCATCATCATCATCATTCCCCTTGACAATGTTTTATTGCAATTTGCAGATGATGACTTGTTAGATGATATTTTTCTCGCTTTCATCATCTCTTATCTATAATACATTGCAATATCAATTGATTGAAAAGAGCCAAGAATCGGTTAATTGAAATTGAGTAGCTTCAGTGAGAAAATCCAAGCAACTTGTGAAATCTGCAAAAAAAATATTCACCAGAAAATCAGAACTTTTTTAGATCAGATTTTCAAATGGAACAAAATATTCCAAATATTCATTTTAAAAAAAAGTCTGCCAATGCATCTTTTAATGCAAACTTTTGCTCGATTTTTAAGAAACCAAATTTTCAAAAAAACTTCATTTTAGAGCATCCATCTAATTTGAAAAGTCGATTTTCGCGGAACTCGAAATTTCTAAAATTTATTTCAACTTTCTCTGATATGATATGGACTTTCATGATGTTGATTTTATAAGCAGCTTCGAATTTTGACCTTTTGGTCAACTTTCTGAATAAATTTCTCAACAATTTTATCGAAAAGTGTTCATTGAACTGGAAAATGCAAAACATGATCTTTTTGAAATCACCTGAAAGAATCAAAACTTTTTTCTTGAACATTTCCATGATTTTGACTCGAAAACTTTAATTTGTTTGAAAAACTATGGGAATGAAGTGGATGAGTAAAGTATTGATATCTAAAGCTGAAGCTAATTGCAATATTGGGAAAAGTCCTTTTGAAATGTTATCCAAAAACTGACTGAAGCATAATTGTAATGAGAGTCGCCTTTGACCAACTCTCGACGGTAACATAATGAACACTTTGTTCAACTTTCATTTTGTAACAGTTTGACCCTGGGAAAGCAACTTGACCCAATAAAGGGAATCCGTTTGGTAATGAAATAAAAACACAAACATGAGACCAGTTGAAATGTTTTTATTTTTTGGGTATAAAAACAATCATTTTTTACTACTTCGGTTGAAACACACCAGAGGGAGGTGAGAAGAGAGAGAGAGAGAGAGAGAGAGATAGAAAGAGAAGATAGAAGAAAATGAAAAATAGAAAGAGATTAAATGGTGTGATTCCAATAACAAGAAGGCACCAAAGTTACAGTGTTATGTATAATATAGTACATCTCCTTCCTCCTTTTATTGGAACCAGTGTTAAGATTAAGATGAAGATAAGACAGAGAAGAGATTTGACGATAAATTTGGATTTCATTTGAAACAGAAAAGATGAGGAAGAAAAGGAAAGCCAAAAATGAGAGGAATTAATGTCGTTCAAAGGATTGATGAAGGATATTTGCATCATTTTTGTGTGTATTGTAAGTTAATCATTTAGTCAATTCTTTTTCTAGATTTTCCTTTGGAATTTGAAATTTTCGTTTGTTTCCATCTTGTTGGTATTCAGTTCCATGGGATGAGGATGATTGGAAGAGGTAAAGATGAATTTTTGTTTATTGTCAATCAATCCTTTTTGGGCTATTTTTTTCATAATTCATTGATTGATTTTGTTGATTGAGAAACTTAGAAACGTATATTTTGGTTTGATTTTTTTCAAGATTATTGAAGTACGACTAAAGTGTAATTGATTTGGTTTTCTTGTTATAAGTTGATGATAAATAGTTGAGATCAAATAATAATTTAAATATTGATAATGTTTTCGTTTGTGTTGATGAGTTGTTGATGTTGACGGATGAAAAGGAATCGGTCAAAAGAAGCAAAAAGGGAATCAAATATATATATTTATATATATTCATTCAAATATATTTATGTATTTATAAGTATAAAGATGATAAAGAGAGGGAAGAGAAAGGGTTAACTCTACAATAATTATTGATGAAATAATTGGACATTGATGAGGGAAGAGAGAAAATAGGAAATTGGAAAAGGAATAAATGGTCAACTTTTGATGTTCAAGTTGAGGTCAATAATTTAAAGACTTTACTCGTCTTTCGATTTGTTGCATTGATGTTTTGATGGAGAAAAGAAAACGAACGATCAAACGAACGAAAAAAAACGAAAAAATTTGGTAACATTGCGAAGGAATGAAGAAGAAGAAGAAAAGGTAAGTTGATAACCAAGGCTGGGCCGGATAGAATGATATTGAACAACAAACATCGAATCGAAGAGAAAATGTTTTCCATGAAAAATGGCGAAAATGGAAAATGAAAGATCAATGATGAAGGGGACTTGATGTTGGAAGATTGGATGACGGAAAGAGATTTAAAAAATAGTTGATCGAAATTGAAATTCGAAAAAATTGAAAGGTTCAACTTTTCGCTTGGAATCAATTGTTATCGTTAATACTCCAATGGGCTTCGTCAGGCACCAAAAATTGTTGTAGCACAAGAATCACTGCGAAAACCCATTTAACGATTTTTCCAGTCGACAAGTGAACCGAGTTGATGTTTGATACAAAATATAATATAACAACAATTCGCCTTTTAATAGCAAACAATCAACTTTTGTTTCAATTTTTTCGCTTCAACCTTTTCCATCGTCGAATCACCTGACGAACTCTTTCCATGCAACATCATTTTTATCCTTCATCACTTCTTTTCCTCAATGAATCACACTTCACTGTTTTCATGGTCAACACTAAAAAATAATCACCTTTTCCCTTTCAATTCGTTAATCAACTTTTGTTACTCTTGTTCATCATTCAATGTCACTTTTGTCCGGTTAATGGCCCATCAGTTGTGAGCAAATTTGTATTTCTCTTGATATAAATTGTGATAAGTTTCTTCTTCTTCTTTGAGACAAACCATCAACATTAACACTCGTTGTCAACATTTACTGCATTTGTTGATGAATATCGTAAAAACAGAGGAAAAAAAGTTCTTTTCTCGATAGAATTTAAAAATGGAAAAAAGAAGTTTTTTGTTATAAATAATGATAATGACAATAATAGTGATTAATAATGATAAAAAGTTGTTTGTTAATTGTTGTAGTTAAGACAAAATAATAATGAGAAAGACGCTGTTGTAGTCATCACCTTTTAATTCACGTTATTTTTTTGTATTTTTTTGGGCATTTTTTTGCAATTTTTGTTTTTCTTGTTTTCGTCTTTTTTGTAATTTAAACTCCTTTAAATTTAATAATTTTTTGTTTTGTCATTTGTTGTAGTTCATCACTGAGAAACTTCACTCCAGAGTTTCTCTTTGGGTTTTGTTTTTTGTCTTTTTTTGGGTAAAAAAAGTGTTTTTTTTGGGTTATTATTTTTTCTCTAATGTGAATTATTACGTCTTTTCACAATTATTTGTTTTTTCAGCTCCTTTTTGTCAAACAACTTTTCGTTATATTTTTGTTTTCATCGTTACAGAAACTAAATGGTCACAACTTTTCATGAGAAAAGGTTTTTGGTGTTTGTGTTTTTACCAAAGCAACTTTTGTCTTTAGAGGCAGGAAAATGTTACATCAGTAGATATATTTCAATGAGGTTTTGTTTCTTCTTTTCCTTGGGTTTACTTGGATCAGGAAACAGGGTTGGGAAAGGGTTCAGATGATATAGTCAACTTGATTTACCTGTCAAAATTGAAATGAAATTTTCACCGTTTTTTTTCTTCTTCTTTTCGAGGAACAACAAAAATTTTAAGCTCAACTCGACTCTTTTAGGCTTTCAATTGATCCTCAATTGAATAAAGCTTATGATAATCAGATTAAAAGGTAAACTTATCAGAACTTTTTTTTTCTCCTTCTTAATATATAATACAACTTCTGGTGAAGAAGAAAATGATTCAAATGAGAATGCAAAAATCGTGGCTACAGCATCGTCAATACTCCAATGGGACTCGTCAGGCACCAATAAATTGTTGTAGCACAAGAATCACTGCGAAAACCCATTTGACGAAACCAGTTTTTGCATTCAAAATCTGACCTCTGAAAGTTCATCTTTCATCTGATTGGCTAGTTTGGAAACAGCGGACATTTAAAGTCGAATCTCAGAGTAAATGTTCATTTTGACAGGTAAGGGAACAGGGGAAAAACATTTAAATTAAAAGGGAAAAAACCTTTTCATTGCTTCTCTTGAAAACCATTGGGTGAAAACAGATTGAATTTTCATTTGATATTCACGCTGTTCCAAGTCCCGAATCTCGTTTAATCCTTTGTTAATCTTTCGTCATTTGATCACTTTGGACACGAAATTGGGCTTCGATATTGAATCGTTATTGATGTTTACAGCAATTGATTTGGACCCAATGAATGGCAATCAAGAAGATGAATAAGATTAAGATAATGAAATGGAAGGAAAGGTTTAAAGAGAGCGTCTTAATCCTTCAAAGGAATTAATTGTTCAGTAAATGAAATGAAAACGAAAAAATAAAATGCAAATAATTTCTTCAAATGATAGTTATAATTGGATGCAAAATGATAAATTACAATTAAAAGAAAATTAAAAAGCAAATGAAATAAGTTTTGATTGACTGTTGAACAAAAAAAAGAAGGTGTTTTGGGCATAAATATAATAATGATAATAATAATATTTATAATATTTATATCAATTTGATTGGAATGAAAATAAAATGTTTGAAGACAAGAAGCTCTCATGTTGGAATGGATAGTTTGAAAGGAACTGAGAAGAGGATTAAGTTGATAAACAATGAGTATGTTGATGATAGCTTATGATGATAATGATGACAAGGAATTGGATTTTTGTCTTTAAATCTTGTTTAACTTTTGATTTTTGTTGGTTCAATTTGAGGTTTAAAAGCGCGCGCAGATTTTGCTTCAAGGGTGTTCTTGTGTGTGTGTGTGTGTTTGTCGTTCGTGTTGTGTGCTAATTAACTTTGTTAATTTGATTTGTGTTTTGATTTTGATTCAAGATCATTTTTTGATTTTGCTTCGTTTGATTTTTCTTGAGTTTAGTTTCACTGTTTTACTTTTGATTTTACGTTGTTTTACCTTTTTTTCGTCGACTTTTGCACACACGAGGTGATCGGGAGTTGATGGGGTTGATGAGGACTGATGAGGGTTGATGAGGGTTTCATGATGAGGTTTGTGATTGTGATGAGGCAAAAAAGAATCTTCAACAGATGCTAGCATTTTGTTTTTCTTGACAACTTTACATGTCAACGTAACACGTAATTTTCAGTTGGTGTTAATTGAAATGAAACGGTAACTGGTTCATGAATCTTTTGTGAGACTGGCAGGCAAACCAGGGAAGGAACGAAATAATCATTGGAAGATGATGAAGATTTTTCCGTTACATCAGGTTGACTGGTCATTAGAAACGTTTGAATAATGTAATTTGAATTCGATGGACTTTTTGGCACTCCCAGGCTGCTTGGGAACAGCGAGTGCGGCGACAACTGACCTTGCTGTTGTTGAAGTAGGTTGAGACAAGCTGATGCAGCCGAGGCTGAGGTTGACAGGTTAATGCATCCCTTGCCAGTCGGTGATGACGGGAAGGAAGCATCGTCATCGGCTTCTTCCATTTCCTAATAAAACGAACAAGAAAAAGTTGAAATGAGAAAATGATTATCGATTATTGCAGACCAAATTTATTCAATAACAAAAAAAGTTCCAATCATGGTAATAGTATGGGATTGAGGAAAGTCAATAGTGAAAAAGAGAGAGAGAGAAAAATCTACAAATTACAAATTAACCTGTTTTGTTGTTTATTCTTGATCATTTGATTTGATGGCAACTAATTTAACTAATGATTCTCTTGTCGGTTGACCAGAACATTTAATTTTGTGAATTACTATTTGCAATTTACTATAAATCCTCTCTCTCTCTCTCTTCAATGTATAAATATATTTGTTAAGGTAAGTCTATTTAGTCACATCATAATCTACAAATGGTACAAATTAATTGATGGATCGATAAAGTCTCGATCTACAATCAAACCTGATCAGCATTTAGTTAATTTAATTGGATCAACATTCATATTAATAGTATTACTTTTTTTTCTTCACAATTTACTTTACCAATTACTTAACTCAATGTTGATCAATTATCAAAAAAAAACTGAAACTACAACAAAGCCAAAATTGAATATTGATTTGAGGTGATTTTACGTCATCAAAATGAACTTCATCAACTATGAGCCAAGCAAAATGAATGTTTCTAAATATTTTAATGAAACGCAAGAACATGATTCCTCAAAGTAATTTTCAAAAGCAATAAATGCTCGAAATTAAGTTGAAATCAGTTCATCGAACAATCGCAATGCGAAAAAAATGGATTCAAAAATTCGGTTAAAAATATTTTTCTAAGCATTTTTATTTCCAGAATTTTGTTGATTTTAAGTCGTCATAAAGAAATGAAATCCGTTTCAACCGAAGCTGAGAAATGAGCAAAATGAATATTCCTAAATGAACAGCTTTGAAGATGATATTTACACAGAAAGCCTCAAAACTCAGTCGAAAACTTGAGAAGAAAATCGATTGAAATTTACCTTTGATCAATCCTTTACTTTACTTTTTACTGGTTCTGGACATTTGTTGGTTTGTCTGCAAAATGACAATCTTTACGATTAAAAATGTGGAACTTTTTCTCTGCGCAATTTCAATTTTAAACTGAATCCTGACCAAAGTTTAAAGATGTCGATTGTGCTCAGTTTCAATTGTGAAATGTTCAATTTAAAAGAAGCTGAAAAGAGCTGCCATCTTCAATGAAATTGAGTAAAAATTGTATCGATTAAATTTTAAAACCTATTTTCAACATTAAAAAACCTATAAAATAAAATTATAATGTTGAACTGCCTTCCAACTGCAAATAATGTCATTTCACTATAATATTATAGTTTACATTATAATTTTGATAAGCAAACTGTTTCTTTGTGGGCGTTTATCAATTCAATTTGAAAAAATATTTACAAATACAAACAAAAAATAATAACATTTTGATAATTAATTTTCAAGACAAACCTTTTTTTGCCAGTAAATCAACTTTCAACCTTTTTCTTGATCATATCGCTCATTACAGTTTAAATTGCTTTTTTTAATAACATAACCTTTAATTTACATTTTTCAACTAAACTTGGGTGTGAAGTTAAAAAGGTTGAATCAGGTTAACCTGCTCAGGTAGCCAGATAGCCTGTAACAAGATGAATAATCGTTTACAATTACCATTCATATTAACCATTATTAACACTGAGAATACTCTTGACAAGTTTCATTGTAATTCAAGTAACCAGTTTAATGACGGACGTTAATATTGATTAAATGTAATGAAGACAAGAAGATGAACAAGAGTGAAAAACAAATCAATACCAAAGGCATTTGTGGTTATACTTCATGTCAACTTTGTAATTTAAATCGTTTTTTCTTCTTCTTCTTCTTTGTTTGTTTCGGGTTTGCTTGTTAACCAAAAGGTTAACTAATTAATTGCAAGTGTGAGTTAATTGAATTAAATCAATCATTTGTTGAATCAACTTGGATAAGCTGCAATCCTCAATTCTTGCTCATTTAATCTGCAAAATCAGTTGAGTTAATGAGCCAAAAACTGGTTTTCATTATTCAAAATGGCAAACAAAATTGACCATAAAAAGTGAGCCAAAAGGGTTAATCAATTTGCAAATAGGAAACAAAAAGAAAATCACATTTTTGGAAAAGAAAATTTTCTCCCAATTCTGATAGATGGCATGAGCTATTCAATGATCAACTTATCAGTTCAAACCTTTGAACATTAAAACAATGGAATCAACAATTAAGTTAATCTGAATCAATGTCAATTCAATGATAAACATCAAATTTCACCTTCTTTAAAGGCTCAAATTGTTAAAACATTGCATTTAACTGTTTAATAAACAAAAGAGTAAATCAAATCAAATCAGACAATCAAGTTTAATTGCGATTGTTTGTTTCTTTGATTATCAAATGGGGAAAAGGTTGATTCATCAGTTTTTTTTCAGTTTTTACATTCATATTGTTGTTGAAACAATTTCAAGATTATATACTCTTGATGATAAACATGAAGATGTGACTAATTAATTGAGACTGATTAACAATATGAAACCATTAATCACAATGAGGTTAAGATTGACATTTAATTAAAAGCCTTAAAAGGTTGACAGATGAAAATGTCAATTGAAAGATTGGCATCAAATTGTTGAAAATCAAAGTTGATAATCATTTCCATTGTTGTGTTTAAGTGTGAAATGTAAGCAAAAACAAATTTGATAGTTTTCACCATTAAACTGATGTTCAATTAAATGTTTTCCAATCAAATGATTACTTTGCATTATTGCTTCCAATAATCAAGGTTTTTCTAGTTTTACATTAATCATGGCAAGTTCATACAAAATGAGCCATTTTGATTCATTGGAAATCGATTGATTACCATTTAAAGACAAATAATAACAGAAACTTTTACTTTTACTATTAACTAAACAAACACAATTTATTTATTCATTTCTCTGTTTCTTTACTGATTTTTTGTTCTCCTTCTCTTCATCATGTTTCTCAGTTGATAATAATCAAACTGATTTGGTATTCAGTTCATTCTGATGATGACCTCGTAATGGATTCATGTTGTCATGGTATTTCAAGTTCCCAAAGTTCCATATCATTTCTCTATCAACATTTTTTTTCTCATGTTTTTACTCTAATTGATCAATTAGTCAATTACAATTAATGGCAAATTAACTAGTAAAATATCAAAAAAAGGAGAAGAAAAAGAAAGAAGGAAAATAATCTTAATTTTCATTTGATCAACTTTCATGAAGCGACAACAGGAAAAGGATGATTTCCATGATGATAATGATGGAATTGAGATGAAAAGATTATTCAAATGGATTTATTAATTATATTTGCTAATAAACATTGTTGGCAAGTTTGTTATCAAAGTGAGTGTAAAATTATCGCAATTGTTGAATTAAGCTTAAGGTAAAGCTTATCAACTTTAATCATCGTCTTGGTTTGCTTTTGCATTTTCATGATAACATGAAATGGAAAAGAAGAAGAAGAAGAAAGAAGTAAAAATAATAAGCTAATTGGTCTTATGTCTTTAAATGTCAACTTTGTACAATCAATTGTACAATATCCTTGGAAACACCAATCCAAATGTAAACAGATGAAGAGAAATGAAGATGAAGATGAGGAAAGTTGATAAATAGGTAGATAGATAGTTTGAAATTGTACAATAAATAAATAATGTGTGAATAACTGTGATTATTGAAATGCAAATATTGATTGAGAAAAGCAAAGTGAGGCTAAAAAATGTTTCGAGGGGAGTTTTGAGGTGGATACTGGGAGGTGGAACAGAGTCCAAATTTTATACAAAAGTGTCTAATAGTCGAGATACTTTGTTTTACAATTTACTTGAAACCTTATTTTTATCGTTTTTTTTCTTCTTCTTCTCTTCTCTCTTTTCCTTGTTCCACCCACTCAATGATATTATTTAAGAAATGAGATGAAGGGGAGAGTTGTGGGAGTGTGTCAAGTCTCGTCTGTTGTTACATTAATGGCGGGTTGTTTTGTTTAAACAGCTTTTGCTTTTTGCTTTTTGCAAAAACAAACTTTGAGGTTTGCTTTTTTGTTGTTGTTGCATTTAAATTAGCAAAAAGGAAACCATAAAAAACAATCAAAAGGTGGGTAAATGAGAAGGTGGTTGGTGGGTGGGGAATGAGGGAGAATCCAGAGTAAATTGAGTGACAGACAGTCAAGCTTAAAATGGGATACAACATGTCGGAAAATGTTTAATGTTTAATGTTAACAGAAAATTAGATAAAACTTCTTAATGGTTGGTTAGTATGGTGAGATGGATCATGTTGATTGCAATGTTAATGAAAGGTAAATTTAAAGCTGTTTCACTTTTGTTTGTTTTCTATAGTATAAATCAACAATCAGGTAAAATCGACAAATTTAAAGCTTCGCTTGTCTTGCAATTGATCATTATCCAGCTATTTTCAATGAATACTGTTTTTGTGCTTTAAACAAAAATTTACAAATGCGCGACTAGTAAATGAAGCTGAGGCTCTTCAATCTATTGAGAAACTTAGAGTTTCAAGAAAACTTCGAGTTGAACTCTTCGATAGTTCAAGTCGCAGATACAGTAATAGAAGTAAATCGAAATCCTCTTCAAAAAAGAATCAGAAATTTCTTTTGGGGAAAAGTGATTCATGACTCAATCTTCATTCAAAAATAACTCTTCAATTAGGAAACGATCCATTGGAACTTTTGATTCGAAGTAAAAAATTGTTTTTCATCGAATTTCTATCCCTTGATAGTCAGAAAACTGATAAAAGCTGAAACATTGAAACATTTGAAAGCTTCACTAAGGAGGCTCATAAGCTTGATTAGTCAAAGATGAAGGCAATTTGAGTTGAAAAAGTCATCACCAGACTTGAGAAGCTCATGAATTTGCTAATTCAATGTTTGTTTCATAAAATTGCAGCATAAATGTCAATATGGAACTTAACTTGATGCGAACATTGATTGTTATTAAATGTACTCAACCATTTCAACAGTTGGAGATAAGCAAATTATTATCTCACCAAAACTGGCAATTAAATGAAAATTTCAATCTAAATTAAATATTAATCTGAAGATGATCAATTTGCCTGTAACATGATTGAACCCAAAGAATCCAACAAAAAAAACTATAAAAATAACAATTTGAAATGAAAGTCAACTGAGCAATAAATTTCATCTCTTGCCGAGTTACGAGTTAACAATTTAAATTGAAAAGCCATTAATAAAAAGGAAAAATTTGCCTTCACTAAATTATACTTTTCATTGAGGCTTATTTGGTGTTCATTGAAAGACGAGAAAAAAGCAGATTATGATTAAAATTGTAATATCCGGATGAAGTTGATATTGAAAAATGAGGTAAAATGTTGATAATGATAATAAACAAGAAGCAAGATGTTGGCATTTTCAACAAAAAATAATCTTTCCTTTCATCCTTATTATCAGTCGCTTTTTACACTTCACTGTACACAAGGGCAAAGTTGACACTCGGTTGGTCCTCTCATGCCAATGGTCATTTCTTTTTCTTTCCTTTAAAGTAAAATGCAAAATTTTGACCATTGGGTCCAAGGAAAGGTCATTATTTTTCTCCCTCTTTTGTATTATTAATATTTAAACCGGATTTTCAAGTGACACTTTGCAATTATTTCACTTTTTATTGCTTTACGTTTGTTTCATTTTTATATTATTTGTTGAATTTTTGGTCCAAAAAAAATAAAATAAAACGGAAAAAACTGGCAACAAGCTCGAAGCTCATAAATAATGTAACCTCGAGCTTGTTTGCTGCAAGTCAAGGTTTCACTTTTGTAAAAACGCAAATCAACAAAAGCAAATGTCATCATGACTCTTGACAGGTAAAGACTTTGGCTCGTGACTTTTGTTTTCAATTTTGGCTTTTTTTGTGTGTTTAACTTTCATTGACCTTTGCTTTACCTTTTTTTTGCATGATTTTGCTTGAATTGAAATCATTTCTTTTTCATGACAATGAATATTGAAATTGGTTTGCTTTTGAGGGTAAAATGAAAATGTTAAACTTACATAATTACACAATTGGTTTATCAAAGTATCGGGTAAACTTGATGTTTCATGAGATGCTGAGGGTGGACTTGAGGGTGACATTGATCCGTTAATTCGTTGAGATGGAGTCACTGTTGATGGATTATCTTCTGTGCTTTGACCGTCAAGTCCAGCTAATGGTGACATGTTTGACTCTCGGTTGCACTGTTGCCCACTATTTGTTTTAATATCATTACTCGAATTGGAATTACCGTTATTAGCAGTAGCATTGTTATTACTGTCATCATTGATATTATTGTTATCATTATTGTTAGTATTTGAATTATTGGAATTATTATTATTATTATTATTACTAGAATTGTGAACAGAATTGTTGGTTGCCTTGTTGACTGATGAAGATAAATCAGTTGCCTCTGAATTGATGTCATTAAGTTGGGTTAAACCAAATAAACTGGAACCAGTTAAAGAAGCCAATTCTTCTGGACTCGTCTTGTGATCTTTCAACAAATGAATTTGCAATGCTATTCTATCGGAACAAATTTGTCCACACATGACACACATGCGACTCAGGTCATAAGAAAACTGGGAATGTAGGCCAGTCGAGAGATCAGAGTTGGAACAATGGTTTCCATTGCCGTTGGGTCGAAGTATATGATCACTGTGATCATTGGCCATGTGAGTCTTTAACCATTTAATTGACTTGAAACGTCGCTCACAAAGTGGACAGACTTCAGTGTAATGGCTAAAATAGCGATTACCCGTATCACCTGGATCAATGCCGACAGAATTTTCCTTGTCTGAGGCCAGGCCAGACGAACAGTCGAGACCAGATTCACTTTCCTTGCTTGTTACACCGGTTGAATGGGCTACTGAAGATGAACACAGAGCGTTGCTTGTACTGTTTGTTGTCGTTGTTGTTGCTTTACTTGTTAGACTAACAACTTGATTTAAAGCGTTCAACCCACTTGCACCTGGAATCATTAATCCAACTGAATTGGCCAGGGAAACGGCAGTCAATCCCGTTCGAGCCGAGTCTTTCATGTTCGGTGTATCCTCACCTATTCCATGAGTGTTTTGCTTGTGAACTTTGAGAAAATACTTGGAACACAATTCTTTTTGACAGATATCACAGGTAACTCCACCGATTGTTGAGGTAAACGCAGCTTCAGCTGGATGCTCATCAATGTTGATGTTGTGCATCTTCATCATGTGAGTCTTCATGAAATACTTGTTACACAATTCTTTGTTACAAATGTTGCAATAATTTCGACAGTTGCCTGGAGGACGTGAACTTGCACCCGATCCACTCGAGGAAAGGTTTGTACATTTAACAGACATTATTCCTTCCATTCCAAAGGATCGATTCAATGCATATGCAGCGGCTGCCGCTACTTGGTTTGAGGTTGCATTTGTTGAACAGTTTCGCGGTGATTCGGGCGATTTATTTTCTTCACTTCGTCGATTAGAGTTGCAATTGTCACCCGACAGCGAACCAGTTCGACTAATGACACAGTTGCTCGAGTTGAATGTATTCATGCGAATACCGTGAATGTTGACTCGATGAGCTCGAAGAGAGGATTTACTTTGAAAATTTTTGCCACAAATTTCGCAAATTAATTCACTATCTGAGTTGAGTGTTAAAGCAATTCCGTTACCTAATGAAAGGACAATTAATTAATTGCTAAATGGTTGACAATTTAAAAGAAAGAAAAGAGAGAAAAGGAATTTTAATCTTACCTTGATTAGATGATGAATTAACTGCACTTAAAGTTACTGAACTTTGGCTTGGAGTTATTGGTGATGCTGATGAAGCTCTCATTTTATCGGTAAAAGGTGTTGATGTTGTTGGTGTTATCGTTACATGGGATGATGATGTGCTAAATATGAGACCAGTTGGTGATCCAAGTGAGGAAGGACGTCGTTCTTGGTTTGAATCTTCATTGGCCGAAGATCGAGGTGACATTGTGTTGTCTTCTGGACACGAAATGGATTGCCTCTCACCAAACATGAACTCTCGAGGACCATTTAAACTTTTATCTTCCCTTTCACTTCGACTTTTGTCTTCACCTTTGATATGACCAGAAGCATTTGATTTGGTTGAACCGCAATTGGATGCTGTATCAAGAGTTCCAATTCCATGTTTATTCAGTTTGTGAGTTCGAAGGAAATATTTGTTACAAAATTCTCTCTTGCAAATCTCACAGAATGCATCAGCATTAATGACACCCATTTCACGAAGCTTTTCAGGAGTAAATATAATGTTCTCTCCGGCCGATCCAGTGGGAATGTTGATTGGTCGACCCAACAGAGCAAAGGATTCAGCTTGAAGGGAAGCCATCATGGCTTGCCATTGATCACGAGTCCATGAAGATGAAGGTGACCCTTGAGGTGCCATTGAATGCATTATCGTTTTGTGGGCTTGAAGAGCAATTGGATTGACCAGATCGGTTCGACAAATGTCACAATAGGTTTCACAATTGGTGTTGGCATTGGAATTGGTTAAACTGTTGTTGGTTGGTAAACAATTTGCGGTTGAAACTGTTGTTATTGTGGTTGCGGGTGAAGATGAAGGTGACGATGAGGTGGAAGATGATGCGAGGGAAGAGGCAATGATTTGAGTTGTTAATCCATTGCGATCGGTTGAGACTAGATTACCTGAGGATGAGGTGCGAATGACTGGTGTTACTGTTGTCACTTTAAGGGAAGAAGATGATTGGCAATTTTCGCTTTTAATGTTGCTATTGTTGGTAATCACTGACATGGATTCCTGTTGATCATTTGACAAGGGTGACATGGCCGGTGACCGTGAGGGCACCTTGGTTGAGACTAGACTAATGGCTTCAATTAAACCAGTTGAATCACTTTGACCAGATGAACTTGACGGTGAAATGGATCGGTTACAGGTTTGATGGTCCATTGATGAGCCTGCAGTCAATGCCAAGCCCGTTAAATTGGCTAAAGATGTTACCGAAGAGTGATCATTGGATCCATGATAACCTGAACCTTGGCCGGTCAACATTAAAGGAGCATTGCCCGACAAGGAAGATGAAGAGGAATGAATGTTGTGAATTTTGGATCGATGTTTCTTTAAGAAATATTTGTTGCAAAATTGTTTCTGACAAATATCACAATAAGATTCCATGTTGATCATTCCAACGGTTCGTGAGGCAAGGGCAACCATTGCCGCTGCATTGGAAGTATCGATATTGGGTGTTGTTGGATTTGACCCATTACCACTTGTACCGGGACCATTGGATCCAGAGGCTGAATTGGCGCTCGCCTGTTGAAGTAACTGTTGCATTTGCATAGCGGCAGCAGCTTGAGCCTGAGCAGAGCCAGTTGGCATTCCAGTTGATTGAAAGTAAGCTGCAGCAGTGTTGAATGCCACTGCCACTGCGGCAGCTTGAGCTGCATTCCCTGATCCACTGGTTGACGTTGATGATCCAGTTGTTGTTCCCGGACCCGATGAACTTGGGATCGTGTCTGATGTGTAAATACCGTGTTTATTTGCTTTATGAGTTTTAAGGAAATACTTGTTACATAATTCCTTATTACACAATTCACAATAAGCTTCTGGATTGAATATCTTTTGAACATTGACCGGATTAACAGCGTTTAATCCAGCCATTCCGATTCCATTGTGTATTGCACCACTGGTCAGATTAACACCAGTTCCGTTTCCACTGACACTTGAACCGTTGGCGTGGTTTGCACCAGAATTATTTGAACCATTTGATCCATTCGATCCAGGCAGAACATTGAATAAATAAGGAAACATTGCAATGGGCATTACATTTCCGGATGAATTGGCTTTACTTTCACCGCAATTCAGTTGACCGGATTGAGATGCAGAAGAAATGGCAACTTGTGTCTGAGGTGTTGAAGATGAGGAATGATGATGATGTTGATGGTGATGAGAATGATTACCTGTTGATATTGAGGGTGATGAGGTTGACGGTGGTGAAGGTTTAGGTGATGAGCTTGGCGGTGAACCTGTAGGTGATGGCGGCTCCAAGGGCGGTGGGGTGGGTGAGGGTAACGGTGATATTACAGAATTTGGTTGTTGACAAGAAACACTGTGAAGTTTAAATGATAATAAAGAGGCAAAATCTTTGGCTGAACCTGATGCAGTTTCATTTATATCGTTTGATGAATCAGATTCCGGTTCAGGAGATGAACCAGAACCAGGTTCAGATGATGAACCATTTGTATTACTGGAAACTCCTGTTATGGTCATTGAGTGATGTCCAGAACCATAACGAACCGGGTTACTTTGTTTCCGTCGCTTTTTGGTTTTCGGTTCATCCATTTCATAATAACTCTGAGTATTATCTAAATGACCAGAAGTTTCTTCATCAGGCTGAGAGAAAGAAAAGAGAAGAAAAAAAGAGAAACATTATTTTCTCATTGGTCACTTTCAATCAACTTTCAATGTTAACACATCAACAATCAACCCAACCTTGTACAAGTTATCACAGTAACAATCAATTTAATTTATCCATATTTGTTGATGAAAAATTGACTTAAAAATTCGAAAATTTCCAAATTTGATTTTCGATAAAAAATCAATTTCGATTAAAAAACTGTAATCAAATTAAACTGAAAAATGGATCAACACAAGAAATAAAAAAAACTCAATGAGTAAACTTTACGAAACTAACATACAGACCAGTAAACGGACTTTGGTCATAATAATTCTAGTTCATCTTCTTTCCTCTTTTCACATTTGCTTCTCCCTAATACTCACTCAATCTGCCTCGTGGGTTCACTCGCATTGGTAGGTCAATCTAACGGACACACGGATAACTCCGCTACATTTGGGCAATAACTCAAATGGCCTTTAAAATTACTTTTACCAGAAGTACAGAGAGTGAGAAGAAGAGAGAAGTAGAAGAGGATGAAAGGGAGACTGGCTATTAAATAAAATCTTATGTGGTTTGGAAAGAGAAGAAAGAGAAGAGAAAGAGAGAGAGAGAGAGACTTAAAACCCTCCAAGGCATGGACATTGGCACGAGCCATCGGGCCAGACCAGGTCAGGCCACGAGTCTCTCTTTCCTTTTCATTCTTTAACTTAAAAGCTGACAAAATTTACAATGGAACAGGATTAGAAGAGAAAAGATGAAAAATAAATAAAAATTGTGTGGACAGTAAATTTATAATGACCAATATGCTTTGTATCACAAGAGAAACCCTTTTTTTCTCAAATCCTCATTTCCATCAAAATGAAAACATTTTTCCTTTAAAACATTCATTTCCTTTGCAATATTGCATTCACATTTTTAATATAAAAAATCAGGTTAAAGGTTAATCCATTCATGTATCATTGATATCGACAGTCTTTGCTCAATGGTCAACTCTTTTACCTATCCTTTTCAATCGACAACCGCTAACCTTTCATCTGATTCTCAATGAAATGTTTACTGAAACCTCGACTCTAGAACATTATTTTTGATTAACATTTTTAAAACAATGAAATCAATTAGCAACTAATCTTGACCAGTTGACAATGTCATCTTTTGATATCAATGAAATGAACCTTTTTACCTGCTTTTTTATTCTCAATTTTGATTGCATACAAGAAGTGTGGAGGAAGGAGTAAGATAGGTTGAAATGGGGTGGAGAGTAAAATTTTAAGTTATCAGGCAAGAATAGGGTTTGGTTTGAGAGTGAAGAAGGTTTGGTTTAAAATGAAATTGAACAAATAAAATATTGAACAATGTTGAAAAAAAGTTAAGAAAAGGGCTGAACTCACAGGGAAAGAGGAGGATAGCATGGAGAGAGAGAGAGAAGAGAGAGATTAAGGATGTTGGAGAGGGAGAGAGCAAATTTTGAATGGATGAGAAAAGATGAAAAATAAAAAATTTTGAGTGTCTTACCATTTTGAAGAGATGCTTGGAGTGACGATGGCCCGTTGCATACCCCTCTTCATGCAGCCATTTTTAACTTTACTCTCAGCAACTCATGGTTACAGACACTCAGACCCACAAGATGCTCACTCAAAGAGCAAGGGAGTTGCGTGAGCATTTGGGAGGTTAGAGGGGAGAGGAATCAACATCATTACATTGTAAAGCAAAAAATTATATCACACAAAGGGGAGCAAACTCGATGCTTTTCCCCTTTTCTCTTTTTTTTTCTTCTAAAAAGGTTACAAGAAAGAAAAGATTTTAAGAGAAAAAAGAAAGACTCGATTCATTGAGCAAACTCACATTCAACTCCAATCAATAAAATTTATACTGATAACATGATAAATAAAAGGGAGGAGCGACAATGTTATGCGCTGGTAAAAACCAGAAGAGTGAGAAAGAGGGAAGAGAGAGGGAGGAGGAGGAGGGAAACACTTATCTTTTTAGTTTATTTTCACTTCGAATTTTTTTCAACTTCGAATTACTTCTAGTGACGCCACTAGCACCATCTATTGGTGGACAAGTTACTTTTCCATTTGCATATTCATTATTGATTGAATAAAGGAAAGGATTGCAAGAGGTTTATCTTGTTCTGGACTCGATTGGGACTCGAAATTGTGGAACACTAGTAGTCAGGGTTAAGTTAAGAAAAGTGGAGATTTTTTTCATAGTCGCCATCTAACAAGAAATAAAAGTACCTTTAAGATCGAACTTAATTTTTCATAGATTTCATTTTTTAGTGTCTCTAAAACGGTAAATACTCGAGATGGCGACATTCAAAAACTTTATGAAAACTTCGCAACATACAACTCGAGTCAATAATGTTACTTCATTGTAATAGCGGTCAGTTTGGAATTGAAACTTTCTGAAGCAATTTTAAAGCTCAAAGCTATTCAATGAAGTAAATCTATAGAAACTCATCAGAATTTAAACTTCAATTGGATTCGGAGCATTTCAAGACTTGCATCTGTCAATGAATTTAAATAAGATGAACTCGATTCTAGATTTTCCTAATTCGTTTAAAATATCATTTCTTCTCATTAAAATGATTTTTAAATGTTGAAGTTGAGTAAATGAAAAATATATTCATGCACATTTTGATCAAACTTTACATTCATTTCATCTGAATTTCGTTGCTCGCATTATTATCAACTTTTTCATTAGTTTTGATTCTTTGATTTCTTAAGATTTCGAGTTTCATTTCATGATCACAGCAGCCTCTTTTAAAACCTTGAATTCAATCAACATGAAATTGTGATTTTGATATTTTTCAAAAGCTTTTTTCATCAAATTATTTATCGGTGAAAAATGTTTGATATTAAGTATAATTAAGGTGTTTTTAAAGCAAACAAAACAATCGGTGTGGTAATATTTAGGTAATTTTGCTAATGTAAATTGCAACTGATTTCAATTGATGAGTGATTAGATGCGTATTTAGATACTTAATGCATTGCTATCCATAAAATTATCAACAGATCCTAAGTAATAAACAATGTTTGATTTGCATGAAAACATTGTTTCCTTATGTCTACAAAGGATGGCAACGACTTGAGCTTAACTAGTAAAAAGTATATCAACTGACTCAGCATTGAATCAAATCTCAAGGTTCAGATGCTTCATCGAGATATTTCTTAGTAAGTTAGAAGAAGAAGAATAAAGACAAATGAATGAAATTCACTTTCTTATGAAATCTCAGTATACATGAACTGCAAACTCTGTCAGTGTCGTAAAAATATTTCCAGATAAATTGCAGTTCTAAAGCAAATCAATTGCAAACCGCAAACTGTAATTTTCACTCAAATTATTGTCTCTTGCATTTCTATTGATTTACAGGGAAAAGATCAGTTTCATAAAAAGATCGAACGATCGAACCAAGAAATCGATGTAGATAATCTTTCTGGATGATAGATGATCTTACGAATCTGAAAACTAGATTCCAAGATTAATCATTAGTCACAACGAAGCGATACCTTCATCAAGATTTTAACTTAGGAAAAATCGAAGCTTTTGAGTATTTTCGGACTGAAGGAAGTCGGGAATGATTCAATGGTTCAAGTTTCATGGAACATTGAGATGAAATTTTATAAGAAAAATAACCTTTGTTAAGCATTCATTATCACATGCTTCTTTGCTTATCAAATTTTTCATTATCAATTTGATTTTGGTTGCGCCAAATGTATTCGTAATCCAAAAGTCGAAACTTTCCTTCTTTCAATCAACGGGTAAAACACGAACTTTTGATTCTGTATTTATCCACAAACTTAAGGTACGGTAACATCAATCCTGGAAGAAGTTGCGATTCGAAGTAAACACTTTGATCCAAGCAAATGTCCAATAAGTTGGCAAAAGTAAATTCACTTGTAAAAACCTGTTAAATTGAAAATGAATGGCATTTCAGTTAATCATCAATAATCAAGAAATGAATGAAACTAAACTTAACATAATTAAATAAAAGTTATTACTGATTGAATAAGAATAACGGAGATGTCGATTCATGTGAAAACTTTTAATTAACCCGTTTCCCGTTAATCAAATGAAGTATTAAAACGATTAAAAACATTAACCCTGCAATCTGCCGTGTGAATCTAAATGTTTACCTTTAGCCAGACGTCCACTAAGATCACATATTCAGATAACTTAAAAGGTGTGAAAATGTGGATTCAATTTTTCAAATCAACTTTACAATAGAAATGGCAACAATCAGAAAAGATAAGTTTATCAAATAAAAAGTAAATAAAACTAATTGTTCAACTTTTTTTGTCTTTTTTTTCATTTCTTTATCATGTTGCATTGGAATTGCATTTCAATGAAATTGCAATGAAACAATCAAATGAATGGAAAACGGAAAATCAATGTTTTTTCCTTTTCTGTCCTTTAATTACTCGAAACAGAAACACGTGATTCTCTCAAATTTATCCATAGATGGCGTTTCAAGATAATCAAAGTTTAAGACTTTTGTTCATCATTAGATAATAAATCAACTGAGTCAAATCATTTGAAATTAACTAAATTGTTATCCACTGTAACAATCTAATCTCATGAGAAGTGAAAAAGAATGAAAATCTCTCTGTAAACAGAAGATATGAAAAGTAAAAAAAGTTTTCTCTGTTTTTGAGCAAACAAGAAGGTAAATAACGTTGATATTGCGTTTTGGGTGACATTTTATGACTTTTTATCAAAATTGATCAGCATTTATGATTATGAGCCAAAGGAAAGAAGAGAAAGTAAAAAAGTGAAGAAGTTGAAAGAAAACTGATTTCAACTTTTCCAGGTAAAAAGTTTTCTTCCACTGAAAAGTAATGGGAAACAAAACAATGTAATAAAGCAATGTTTACATGTGATATGAGAGTTTGCATTAATTTTTGCCATTTTGCCAGTTAATTGTAACAGTAAAGTGAATTGAGAAAAGCGCAAGAAACAATCAATCAAATGGCTTATTTTACTTTGATAACAATTTTCATTTTCATGATAAATTATTGGTTATAATAAATTAATATTACCTGACATTTTTCCCCTCAGTTGAAGCCTATTACACTCTGGTTTGATAACACAACAAAAAATGGCAAAAAACAAGCAAACATTATCAAGATAATTTCAATAATAAACTGCTAATTGTAATAATAATATATTAAAACTAGAATGAAGATGATAAAGTTCAACATCTCAACAATAATCTCTCAACTTTTTTTTTCTCTGTTTTGATATCAATGGAAAGTGATACTTTTGTTACAAACTCGAGTTTTTATCTCAAGAGCTTTTAACTTTCTCATCAGGTTTTACCTGAGATTTTACTTTGATTTCTTGTTCTTCAATTTTCAGACTTGTGTGTTTTCATAGGAAGACAAAGGAGGAAGAAGAAGAAGAAGATGAGAAAAGAAGAAGACAGAAGAAGAAGAAGAATTAACTTTCTTGTTTTCCAATGAAAAAGTAAAGGGAAACTTGAACGAAGGCCGTTAGAAGGAGATTATTGCTATTAACTAATTAACTAATAAACAAGGATGAAGTTGAGTAAAGTGCCAATGAATTAATCCACGTTATAACTTGTTTAATTGTCACAAATGTAATCAATTGCTTTATCCATGTTTATTAATCCACAAACTTGTATCTTTCAACTTTAAACTTTTAAAGTAAAAACTTTTTTCCAAACTTTTTCTGACAAAAGGCAAAGTTGACTTAACAGTAAATTGCAATTAGACTTTAAAATGAAAGTTTAATTTAAAGTTTGAAATGACATTCGATTTTCTGACTCCTGCGATCTTTGAAACTAAACAATCGACAGATTTTTCTTTGAATTGTTCTGGTTCTACCGGCTACTCAGTGTCACTTGGTAAGTCAATCTAACGATCGAAAGCGATGAAAATTTTGTCTCCAAATCTCAGAAATGTTCATCAAAAACATGCTTTAATGATGACTATGATGCTTACTTACACTTTTGACTGTCAAATGTTGATCATGATTTATCCATTTTTAATCCAAATTAGATTGAACTTTTGGCAAACTTTTTGTTTCACTTTGAGATCACTTTTTGAGTTTTGTTGAAACGTTTGTTGAGTTTGTTTTTGTTTTGTTTTTTGGTTTAATTTAAAGTTGAACACTGAACAATATTGAATACAATCAAGGTGAACAATGATAATTGACGATAATTATTAATTATGATGCTGATAAATTGTAATACTTGTAGGAATGGCAGAGAATGAAAAGAGAATGTTAAAAAAGACAATTAACTGATAATGTTTGGTGTAAGTTTCATTTCTATTTTTTACACTTTTGTTTAACACAAAACACACAATTGTTTTGCTGATACTTTATTTGTTGTTGCAAGCTCGTTTGACTCACTCACCAGTGAGAAACAGATTGTGAGTCAATTGAGTGAGTTGAGTGGGAAACGTCGAGAGTGAGTGAGTGAGAGATCAAGACAGGAAATGTGAGATATTGAGTGAGATTGTTTAAGAAGTGTGGAAACAATTTGAAATATTGAACAATTAAAGGTGAGAAGAGTTGAAAACTGGGAAAAAGACGATCACCTTAAAGTAAATCGCGATTCACTGTAAACTGAAAAGTTGAATAACAATCAGAGTCGATAATACTAAAGATGAAAAGATGTTTAATGAAGATTAGTTTCTGCGGGTTTTTGGTTTTTCAACATTTACTTCTGCCGTTGTCAATGGACTTATACGGGTTAACGATTAAAGCCTAGCAAGTTATTAGACTTCAATTAAATTTTGATTCAAGTGGAGTTGTAATGAGAGAGAGAGAGAGAGAGAGGGAGAAGATGAAAAAGATGAAGAGCAAAGTGGGAGGGTTGAGCAGGCAAAAAAGGGAGTGATGAGGAGCTCTTAAAATATTAATTTAGCGTTGCTCCGACCAAATTTAATTAGAAACTTTTCCCCTCTTTTAGCGATTCCTCATCCAATCTTAAAGAGAGGGAGTCGAGATAAAGGCAAGAATGATGATAAATCTCTTTCTTTTCATCTTTTCTCATCTTCCATCCACTAGCGTCATCTATTGAGCTTTCAATCTGATAGACTTGAAATTCAACTTTTCACTTTTTTACGTTTCATTTCAGCCTTTTTTCAGCATTCAGCTTGGTAAACCTATAAACAGAACTTTTCAGAAAATTTTTCATTTCTTTTTCATTTCGCAACTGATTTAATCAACAATTGAATCAACCTTTTTTGCTTGCTGTTAACAGGTAATTTGATTATATTTGCTTGTATGAATATCATTGAGAAAAATGTTTATTTGCATTTTCCATCTTTTATAATCAATTGCATCTTTCAATCAATTAATCATTTAAGACGATTAACTGTTTACAGTGTGATTACGGTTAACAAGGAAAATCACTTAATTGTTGTTGACACCTTAATAATTGTTTAATCAAGTTTAACCTTTTTCTTTACGTTTTTGCCTCATTTCAATTGATTTACTTTTGTTTCTACTTTTTTCTACCTTATCCTTCATTGGTATTAATAACTTGACAGTCGGCAATTTATTTTCACAACCAATCAATATCAACATTCATCAGTTTTTACCTGTTTATCGCAAATTGTGCTCATCAAATGACGTTAATCATTTCCATTACTTTGTATCACTTTGTAATTAGAAGTTGAGAAAAATTAAAACTAATCTAATCAAAAGACAAACTTGACCCAAATAGCGCAGACAATTGAAGCTGATAGCAAGATTATCATGACCATTGAGTGAGAAAAAAATTCAAGATTAATGTTTACTTTGATTAATCTCGTTAAATTTTGCATAATTCAACTCTTGCGATAACCAGGAAAGCAAAAAACTGCTCAAAATAAACAAAAGATTCTTGCAAATGATTTTTTTGTCAAACTTTTGAAACACAAAAGATGCGACAAAAAAGATGAGAATAAAGAGAATCGAAAAAAAAAGTTTAATAAAAGTTGTTTAATTGCATTCAATTGCTTATCTTTCCCTTGCCTTAACCCTTCTAAGCCCATTGAAAGGCTCCAGGCAAATGGCGTATTATGTGTTGAATTAGCAGGAAGAAAAAAAATGGAGAGAAGAAAAAAACTGGCCAAATGTTGAATAAAAGTTTCGATAATTGTTTTATAGATAAATATTGTTCCTCATCCTTTTCCTTCATCAATCGTTTGCATGAATTGAATTTGAATAAAAAAAAGTTTACAATTAAATTTGATGAAGAGCAATAAATGTCGCTGGAAAATGTTGCGAATAAAAAAAACGAACATAAAAAGTAGAAAAAGAATGTCGAAAAGTTATGGATTAAGAGATGTGATGATGATGATGATGATGAGTGAAGATGAAATGTTGCAAAAAAGGTAAACTTTTCCTGAATTAACTGAAAAAATTTCATTTCAAATTGAGTTTGCTTGGAGTCATGTCACCACAATTTCAATGTAAACGTGCATGAATTTGCCAGTTTTTTGTGCTTCTCTTCATTTTCATCTTTATCTTCATCTGATTGTCTCTGACTCGGCAAAACTTGAAACATTTCTGTCAAACTTTTTATTCGTTTTTTTCGTTTTTTTCTTCTCTCTTCTTCTCTTCTCACGTAAATGAGATTCTCAATCCCAATATATCAACCTTTCTTGTCTTTCGACTTTTTGTTGTCCCTTTTTTGTTCATCTCATCCAAAATGATAATTAAAAGTTTTCATCAAATTACTAATTGCATGTAATTTGGGAAGATAATTCTGAATTTGTGAATCCATTTTGAATAACTTTGCTTTTTTTCATCTTTTTCCTCTTCTTTCCATTATATTGCTTCAAGGAGGAGACAAAACATTTTCATCATTTGACTCCTTCTTCATGCTCATCATTCGAGTAACCCTCAAGTCTCCCTGAATTCTCACTCATTTTTTTTCCTCTTGTTTCTCCATTCTATTTATCGAAAAGTCTTCTTTTTCGTTCTCTTCTATTCAGTGTTTTTTTTCAGTTTCATGAAAGTGAGAACGAGGTGAGATGCGTTTGCATTCTGAATGCTACTGAATGCTGATGAATTTTGCTGAATGTTACTGAATAATGCTTCGGGAGAATGAAACTATTCACTTTTTTATAGGCTTCTCAAATTTCCAGAAAGAAATAGAAAAAAATAGAAAAAAAATTTCACTATAAATGAGGATTATCATGGAGAGAGAGAAAGAGAAAAAGAAGCGAAAAAAAATTCAGTTACATCATATGAGTTGGAACTTTTGGCTGATAAAAATTGTAATTAGAAAAAGAGTTTGATCCTAAATTAACGTAGCTTCCAGGTTCATTCCGATTGATGAAGCAAAATTGAAGAAGCCTGAAGAGAAGCAGATTATAATATATTTTCACATTTTTTCATTTCTCTTTTTTTTGTTATCTGAAGGTGAGCGCACCTTTTCAATTGAATTCAATTGTCAACCGATCAGAGTCGCCTGATGAGCCAATGTTTAAAATGAGCTTTACTTTGAAATTAATGGCGATAATGATGAGAAGGATGATGATGCATAACCCATATTTGATGATAAAATGCATTTTTTCACTTTTCTTCTTCTTCTCTTTGTATCTTTCGGTGTTTCTCATGTTTGATTATATTATTTTCTGGATGAAAAAGTTTTACCAAGAGGATGAGGAATCGATCGTTATTGTTGTTGTTATATAATTTTATCTTGTTCACTCTTTCAAGTAGTTTTCAGCATAAAGAAGGGCAAAAAAATTTTCTAATTATTAAGCCTTGATAATTAATTTGAGAGTCATTACTGAACCTACATGGTTCCATGACTCTATCCCTAAGATTCACCAATTTTGTTCACTAATTTTTTTCAATCTTCACCCTTTGTCTTCCCTTCATCATTCATCTCAAGCCTTAAATTGAAATTGGTTGAGCAAAAAAAACCAGACATAAAAAAAACTAAAGTTATTCAAATCGCTTCACAATCGCGAAATATTCACTTCCAAGTGTCAATCAATTGTCAATGGGAAATTTTAATCGCAATTAATTTCGAGTTTAAAAGTTTATTCTTCGAATTTCAAGGAAAGAAAAAATTTCAAGTCGATCTCAAGGAATTCAGGGTGAATTTCGAGTTTTCAAGAAGAGAAAATTTGAAATCGATTTCAATTGTCAATGGAAAAGTCGATCGCAACTTCTAGCTTGTAAAGTCCAGTTTCGCAGCTCTAAAAGAAATGAAAAAATTTGAAGGGATCGAGAATAAATTTCGAGTTTCAAAAGTTTCTGAGTTTAAAGCAGAGACAATTTGAAAGGAGAAAAAGAGGAAATTTCGATTGTCGATGGAAGGTTTCAATCGAACTACTAGACTCGCACCAGCAGACGAGCTCCAAAAGTCTAGTTTCACGGATTTAAAAGTATCGAAAATTCAGAATAAATTTCGAGTTTCCAAAGTCGACTTTTCGAGTTTTAAAGAAGAGAAAAAAGGGAAATTTCACTGTCGATGGAAGATTTCGAGTGAAACACAAAGTCGAGTTTCTTCAGTTCTAAAGGGATGAACATTTAAAGGAATTGAGAATAAATTTCGAGTTTGAAAAGTCGACTTCTTTAGCTTTAAAGAAGCGAGAAATTTGAAAGAGAAAAGTGAAATTTTGATTGTCAAAAGATTTTAATATTCAAGATTAATTAGAATAAAAGATGGAATGTTTTGTTATCCATTGATGATGATGTGCTGTTAATCAATTTAAAGTCTCGTAACATGAGAGGAAGAAGATGAGGAGAAAAAAAAGATGAAAGATGATAAATAATAGAGCAAGATGTATGATCGGGAAAAGTAACTCTTTTTTTATCTTCTTATTCTTTTCTCTCCCTTCTCTCTCTATCTTCATCATCTTTCATCCGCACTTTTTACCTCTTATCTTGTTTCACTCACATTTCCTTTAAACATTAAAGATTATGAATGGTTGTTGATTACAGGTAATTACGAAGAGGATTAATTAAAAAATTAACTTTTAAGGATGAGAGGACTAATTTTAAGATGAATTGCCTGGAAAAAGCGACTTTTGTCAATCTTCAACTTTCCAGTGACTTTAAAGGACCAAAAATACAAATCAACTTAACCATATTTAAATGATAATTAATTGTTAATCATTTTTCACTGGAAAATCAGGAAAAAAATTAATGAACAAACTTTTGTAAACCTTTTGATGAAACAAAAAACTAATGAAACACAAAATGATAACAAATAATGTTGATCCGTTTTTTGTCACTTTGAGCAACAATTATAATTCATTAATCACAATCAATTGGTACTTTAACGCACAGGTGATTTACTAATTGTAACTTTGTTAACCAACAGAGAGACTGCAGATTGACTAATCAGTAGGAAGAATGATAATGACTAAATTGAATATAAAAATAGTGAAAAACTTTAATAATTACTTTTTTCATGAAAAAAAAACTCTAATCATGTTTCAATAAACTGTCAACCTTTTTTTACGCAAAGATTAACTTTTTTTTCCAATGAACTTTTTTTTCATTGTTTACCTTTTTTCACTTGCAAGGATTAACCAAGTGATTAGTTTTTACATTTTCATTGTAATTACAGTTTTTTACTCATTAAAAGGTCGATATTAACTGCTTTCTCTAGTTACAGTTTTAATACTTTTGTTACATTTTAATGCTCAGTAAATTGATCTTTGATTGACTTTCCATTGTAAATCAACTTTTAACAAAAGTGACATTTTTCACCTGTTTTCATTCCAATTGCACAATTTAAGTTATTCAATTACAATCAATTTGCAAAAATCGAATCTCCATTTTTTCG